AATACGGGTGGAGAGCGAAGCAGAAGGTGGTGGAGCTCCACCAAACCGCCTTGGGTTTGGCACTTCTATTTAGTTCTAGTGAAATACTAAAAAAAAAATAGATTTATTTGTTTTCATACTACCTGCTGAGCGCTTCTGGAGGTGCTGCCTGGAGTGGACTGACCACCATAAATGCCTGGCACTTCTGTTTAGTTCTAGTGAAACACTAAAAAAAAATAGATTTATTTGTTTTCATACTACCTGCTGAGCGCTTCTGGAGGTGCTGCCTGGAGTGGACTGACCACCATAAATGCCTTTAATAACTAGGAGGGCAGCAGGGAACAATGTGGTGCTGTAAGAGAGGATGATGTGTTGGAGAGCACAATGCGGTGGGCCCCTGGGAGATCTTCATCCATAACTGTTTAGACCTAAAAGCAATTAAAAAAAAATCTCAGAAGCAGTGAAATAAAATCAAGGAGAAGCACCTGTTTTCTGGGATGGATCTCGATTTCAGCAAGTGGGGTTTCAGCAGTGAGGCCGTGGATGGATGTTCTTCTCCAGCTGCATTTGCTGCAGACTCGACCTTCTTGGTAGCCCAAAAGAGCTGCGAGAAGCAGTTTCAACTGGAAATGTCCCACGGTTCTGCTGGCAAAAGGGACCACGTGAGTTTTCCAGTACTTTTCAGCTTATAATGAAGGTTAATATGAGCCAACCCTGCCGTTGGGATGTGGTGGAGCTGCTGCTGAGTGCTTCTGGTCCAAGCTGGTGGCCCTAGGGAAGGACCAGCTCTTCTCAGCTAGATTTGTGGGAGATCCCTTTGGAAAAGGTGTAGGGCTGGGGTTCCTCAATGTTCAGACATAAAATCTTCAACTTACCTCAAATTCCCATTGGAATCCAAGGAAACCCTATCTCTGCAAGCCATGCCGAAGTCGGTACGAGCTGAAGGTGTTTTTTGGGTTTTTTTTTCCCCTCTGGTTTTGTGTAATTTAAACAATTGGGGTTATTGGAAAGCACATCTGGTTTGGGAGGCTAGCCCTCTGGATGGCCACGCACATGAAGGCAGCTTGTTCTTCTTCCGAATGAGCTTTCCTGCGGCGCAGGTTCCCTCCCGACACCCAATATTTGGAATTCAGTGTGGGATAGATCATCTGAGCTTTGCTTTAATAAGCCTCGCAGCTCCTAGAGTGTGAAACTACTCGCAGGTTTTGATGGGGTGCAAACTCCAGGCTGTTACCTTATTAATATCAAGATTTTGTGGGTGCAGGCAGGGTCTCCTGAAAGGGTGGGTGAGAACCTCCCTGGTGGAGCGAGAAGGGGACGAGCAGATTTTGGGGTGAAGCTCTGCTTCCACTTGGCGGGGCAGATGTAACTAAAAATACTCATCCTTCTGAGGATTTCCTCTTTGACCTTGTCTTTACTAGGGGAATGTTGCAAACCGTTGTGCATGATGATGGTGGAAAGTCTAACGTGGTTTGGCCACTTACTCTTCGCAGAACTTAAGTTCCTGTGTTTTCTCTTATTAGGCTCATCTCATAAAGAGTTTGGGTTGGAAGGGACTTTTGACATCATCCAGTGCCACCCCCTGCCATGGGCAGGGACACCTCCCACCAGCCCAGGTTGCCCAAAGCCTCATCCAGCCTGGCCTTGAACCCCTCCAGGGATGGGGCATCCACAGCTCCTCTGGGCAACCTTGTTTGCCTCTGTGTCTCCATCAGCTGCAGGGAGGTGGTTTCTGGCAATGCAAGGGAGGAGGTGATGTGACTCTGTCGGTGCTCTCCTGACCTCAGACATCCGAGGCCAGCTTCACCCCTGTGGTAGGGGGTCTGGATACAGCCAACTGCACTCGTGTTGGGGGGAGCTAGGCACTTCTTTTAGCAGCATTGGAGCTGGTTTTAAACAAAGGTGGACAAATTGTAAATGTGTTTTTTTAAATCTAGGTGAAACTTTGTGCAGAGGGGGGAAAAAATCCCATCTTTGAGTCCAGGACCATGAGATCTTCCTGTATTTAGTAAGAAGGAAGTGAATCTCTTAAGAATAGCTGGTACCCTTTGTACTGTTTCTATAGTGGCAGGTGTTAGCTAATAGATTTGGGCTGGATGTATTCTTTAAATAAATACTTTTTTTTTGAAAGCTCTCTCTAAGCTGCGATTCTGCTGCTAAATAAAGGATTCTAATGAATGTCCTGTCAACCAAAGATCATCTCTGTTCCCCAAGAGTTATTCCAGTCTCTAGCTCCTTATGGCAGCTTTGGTTCTCTTTAGGTCTGGGCAGTCTTTGATACCTTTCCTTAAATGTCACAAGAACGTAATGTTTCCGTACAACGGAGTTTGGTTCCTGAGTTCAGGGCTTTAAAGCTATCTGCTGTAGATCTTGAGCAAGGTGGTGAGTATCTCTTCCTTGAAAAATCATAGGAAACCCATAATCTTGGGAAGGATGGGTGGAAATCTCATCCATGAGTCCAGTGTCCTGAAATTCTGGTGCTGGGAGTGCTTGGAGATGGGGCTGATTCCTCCATGGCCATGAAGGACATCTCCATGGAGCAGATCCTCATCTGTCGCGGTGGAAGGTTGCAACGGCCACAGGCTGGAGAAGCGTGTCCATCGCTGCCTGCTGAGGTTGCTGGCTGGATAGTGGAGTATGGTACCGGCGCTCCAGCGCTCCTGCCTCCTCGCTCGTTGGGCTTTTTTGATGTAAATCCGTGTATGAGCGGGTTTGGCTCTTGCACCCAAACCTGAATGGTGGCAAAACCCTGATGTAGCTTTGAGCCAGAAATATACAGGAAAGCTGATGTAAAGGAAAATCATCTATTACAGGAGACCCACCCAGTGTAGGCTGGCTATATTTAGAGATCATGGACCTAAATCTAGCAGAAATCGAGCACGAATCTGGAGTCATTCCATGTGCTCTGGTGAAGATGCTTTGGATTCACGCTAGTGGAAATGAGCTCAAAATCTGGCTGCTTCTCGAAGATGGCCGGAGAGAGCGTGAATGAAATCCCCAGCAAAAAAAATAGAGCCTTGCTCTCAGAAACCAGCCCCCCAGCTGGCAAGGAACTGGAGCTATCGAAAAATGCTGCAGACAGAAAATGAATTAGAGGAGGAAAGAAGTGAAAATGAGCTGGCAGAATCTTTAGGTGACTCATCAGGTGCATCTTGTAAAGTCTCTTTCTGAGAAGTAATGAAATTGCATGTTCTAACAATATTTGCACTGCAGCAGGAAAAGGCATAAATATTGGGATCAATTAATGAAATTAGATAATTTGACCAAAAAAGCCCTAGTGCTGGCTCAGAAACCATCCCTCTTCCTTTTTGCTAGTCTTGGTGCTTGCAGTCGGAGAGGAAAATCCTGTGGTTTCGTTTCACATCTAAGATACGTGAGACCTGGGCAGCTACAGGGTTACTGGGATGCTTTGGGGGGTCACCTGCAGCTCCAGGACTTCCACTTCCACCCCATGGAAGTCCTGGAGCTGGTGGGCAGGTGGGTGGAGAAAAGCCCTGGGAGCTGTCTGGGATGCAGCCTCCCAGCCTTTGGATTTTAGGATTGGTGAGGGTAGATGCATCTTGTCTTGGCCAACCACAAAGATTTGACTTTTTGTGTCCCTCAACCTGTGTTCCTCCATGGTAGAATGAAGAATAATGATTTTTTTCCTTAAAAAGGAAAATTTTCCTTGGGAAAGAAAAGATTCCATCAGCCTGTGACATTTAGATATTCCAGTAATTTATCGCATGCAGCGGAGTTCGTCAGTGAGTTTCAATTCTGGAGTGAGAGCAGAATTTGGAGTGAAATACTGGGATTGCTGGTACAAGTGGGTCAATTTATGCTATTTTTAATAATTACCTTATTCCAACAGTATTTTCATGGCTCTATATTTGGGGAAGGCACTAAACCTCAGGTAGAATGAGGCTTAATTTATGCCGCGAAGAATGATGGAATGGGGCTTAATTTGTGCCGTAATAATAATAAAATCTTAAGCGTGAATGTCTGGGTGATGGATGTGCACGGTAGATGTTCTGGTGGGTAACTGGGCAAACCCTTCTGTGGTTCTATGATCAACGTGAGCTCGCCAAGCAAAAAGAGCTGTCAACGGTCTTGGGATTTATGGACAGCAAGAGCAGAACTCCTCAGGTTAGCCTACCCTGGGCTTGGCGCTGGGACAACTGTTGTTGGAATAATTTGGCTGCTTTCTGGCCTCCTCGATTCAAGAGGATGTTGACAAATTGGAAAGATGTAAAAAAGCCATGAGGGTGCTTAAAAGATTGGCAAACGCGCCTTGCCAACGAAACAGCCAGTCTCCTGGCTCGGATGTGCTTTATTTTCTTTTTTCTTCTTGAAGCGAAGGTTAAAGGATGGTTTTAGCAGCTCTGAGTACCTGTGTGAAGACCAAAAACAGACGGTGCTGGAGACTGTCAGACAGAGGTGGAACACAAGCTGGTGCCTGGAAGTTGAAGCCACACTTGAGCCGAACAGAACCGTTATTAATAGTAAAAGCGATGATCTCTTGTGCTATTTTACAGGAGTCGGGTTCTCATCCATCTCTAACCCTTAGAAAAAAGTGGTGGTTTATTCTGAGCCCAGGTTTTCTTTGAAGAGATGCTTCTTGTGTTTCCCTCGCTCCACCTTTGTTCCCCAGCAAGCCTCGATTTCCGCAGGGAGCTCATCCGAGGCTGTGCTAAAATTACCTTGAGCCCTACGTGCAGCAGAGTCACCAAAATAATTCTCAATTTTTAAAGCCTGTAGCAGGGCGTGAGGCTGGGGCTGTTGTTAGTCGTTCTTATCATTCAATATAAGAAAGAATATCTTCTCTGCCTTGCTGGCCACGCAAATTTGAAGGAGCTGGGTGTGTGTAAAGGATCTTGAAATCCATCCTGGGAACCTGCAGAAAATGAGTCTGTTCTAAAGCCGTCCCTTGTGTTCATTTACTGCAGCAGCTAAAAGATGAGTATTTGGGGTTGGGTATAAAACTACACTGATTGTTTTTTTTAAATGCAATTTTCTCTTTTTTTTTTTTTTTTTTTTCCTAGCTGTGGGGAGCTCAAAAAATAAAGCAGGTAATATCCTTTTTTATATATATCATTATTGTTTTCAATTATTGCTGCTTTCTTTCCCTTTTCCCTTTTTGTCCTCTTCTCCATTATTGACTTTGCCAGTTGCTGTTTTGTCTTGCCACAGAAATATAAATGCAGAGAACACTGTTGTCACCAAAGACTCTGCTTTTTTTTTTTTTTTTTTTTTTTTTTTTTTTTGTATTTATATATTTGGATGTCTTCATTTCCTCCTTCCTGTCTAGTCAAGAGATTTCTTGCCTCCAGTCTTTTGAAAATACTTTGACAGTTCTTTGGGAAGGCTCGCAACTGTGCCGTACCTTCCTCTGCTGCGCTCCCAGATCACTTGGGGATTGATTTTTCCTCCCCAGACAGTTCATGCCAGTGCAACCCCCAGGGCTTATGGTAAAATTTGGTCAAAATGGGCAAAATGAGCTTCGTTGGCTATTGGTAAAAAAGATTTAGGGTTTCCATGGAGGTTGGGCTGTCCCCAGCGGCCAGCGTTGGCTGAGAAGCTGCAGATACACGTGAAGGTGGGATTATCTGGCAAAGCCCAATGCCGTGGCACGCGAGGGGACTTTATTTGAGTGACCCTTATGGTGACAACCGGAGCGGGCCATTCCTGCATGTTTTTATCCCAACTGGAGACACTGGAACAGGTTGCCCAGAGAAGCTGTGGATGCCCCATCCCTGGAGGGGTTCAAGGCCAGGCTGGATGAGGCTTTGGGCAACCTGGACTAGTGGGAGGTGTCCCTGCCCATGGCAGGGGGGTTGTAAGTAGGTGATCTCTAAGGTCCTTTCCAACCCAAACCATTCCATGATTCTATGATTCAACTCAGCCAGACCCTGGAGCAGCATTTTGGGCTTCCTACAACGTGCCATGGGCTCCTGCAGAGGGTGTTCCTCGCTCTGAGTCCATCCACCATGGCTGAGCCACACAAGCCCTTACGAGGGTCCCCTGCCACCAGTGTGCTTCAGGAGCACCATGAAGTGATTCACACCCTCGTTCCCTTCCTGAGCAGGCAGCCCTGCCCTCCCCATCCCTCCGCCACAGCGAGGGCTTTGCCTTTCGTAGAATCACAGAATGGTTTGGGTTGGAAGGGACCTTCAAGCCCATCCAGTGCCACCCCCTGCCATGGGCAGGGACACCTCCCACTCCTGTCCCAGGACAGAGCTTCAGCCAGGACATTAGGCTACACCTCGGTGGAGATGCTGAAAAGAGACAGGGACAGAAAATAAATTTCCCTTTTCCCCTCCTAAATCTGGTTTTTCCCCCTTCCTGGGAAGGAAGGTCCAGGGGTGGGTGGCCTTTGGGGACATTCTAGTACCAAAAAAGAGCCACTTCCTATGTTTTAAGTTAAATAATTGACTTCTAAATTGTTAATTTATGCTAAATTATTTAAGGAGGGAGGAAAGCAGGGGTAGGAGGAGGTTTAATGGCGGCTGCTGGACGGTGACTGCCTTCGGTCAGAGCTGCAAAAGCCAGAAGGGTGCCAAGAAGCACCACGTCCCCGGTGCTCTCTGGTGGAAGGGGCTGTTCGTAGAGGCGTCGCTGCTCCTTGCCAACGTTGCTGTGCCCTCACGGCGTGTGTTTGCTGTTTTACAGGCCATCATCCACCCCGACACAAACGAGACCATCTTCATGCCTTTCCGAATGTCAGGTATAACACCGCCCCATCGGGCAATCATTAATTTTACTGCGAATTTGGACAAATTGTTTTTTTTTTTTTTCTCCAGTTTTTGACTTACATCTTGTAGACGCTTAGACCGAGATCAGAAAGTAATTCAGATGCTTAAATCCCTTTGCAATCAAGGAGAATTAGCATCCTAAATGTCTGGGTGAGATCTAGCGCTCAACATTTTCCTCTGCTTCAGATATTTTAACATGGACTAATTTATTTTCTGGCATTTTTGAGATACCTGTCACTGTAATGGAGAGTTTGACTTTGGAAGCTGGATGCCCAAGGAGCAGCTGAGGGTTTTTCTCTCTGGGAGAGAATGGGCTGAGCCTTATTTGTCCATGTGTGGGGGTCCTTGACAGTCATGGCATCAGGAGCCCAGGAAAGATCAGCTTCTCCCTGGCTTAGATGAAATCCTTGCCTCCTCCTGCCCATTTCGGGGTGTCCCTCTGCCAGGTGCCTCTGCTGTGGGTAGAACAGCAACATCTTGAGGATGCAAGTGCAGCCTTGGTCCTTTCCCAAATAAATGTTTAAATAAGCAGGATTTTTTCCATATTTTTTTTGGAGAAACATCTTCCCCTGAATGCTGGGCACAGGGGAAAAATTCCAGGGTTGGTGGGTTTTGTTCTCCAGTTCTTCAAAGAAGGATGATGTTGAGGGTGAAGTGGAAGGGAGAGAAGCCAGGACCCTCTCCCTTGCTGCCTTGTTGTGTATTTTTAAAAAATTTTTTCTTCCTCTTGGGTCTTTGCCCTTTCTGCCTGTAAATTGGATCCACAAGGCTTAATTCAGTAATGTTGGTAAAATGCTCTGAGACCTTCTAGTGGAAGTCAGAGAGATGAATTATAATTAGCACAAAAAATTGGCAGACTTAGCAGGAGGAAAAAAAAAAAAAAAGTGAAACGTTTGATTTTTGTGGCGTTCAATAAGATTTGGGGCAAAAGCTTATGTCTCATCTCGAGAGCTTGAACTTCCACCTGGGACTAAAATCCTCCCTCCATCCTCCACGACGCAAATAGACCTTACGCCCCGTTTCTTTTTCTGCTGACCTAGAAATAAATGAGTTCTCCTGGTATAAAACCGGTAGCGGAGAGGTTGATAAAGCAAACAGTGAAAGAAGGAGGTCCCACCCTTGGTGGCGTGGTCCTGCTCCTGAACTGGGCTCTGCAGCTTCTTGGATGCTTCCTGAGCATCTCCAGCATCCTGTCGTGGTGGGACCAGGCTCACCAAGAGGGGAAAAGGGCACGGCAAGCTGGAGAGTTTCCTCCTGGGTTAGCGAGGGGAGGTTGTGGGAGGGTCTGATGAGCAAGAGAGCTGGCAGGAGGGAGGGAACAGATTGTGTGACTGAGCCTAGGAGGGGGGGAGCAGGATCTCCCCCCTTGCCGTGGCAGCACGCCACCAGGTCAGCTCAGCACCACCGCGGCGGCATCCAGCTCCTCCTCGTCCGGACCGAGCAGCTCCTGGTCTGAGCTGGCATCCTGTCGCTTCTGCCAATTCGATTTTTTTTTTGCCTGGCCCAACTCAACAACACGATGCCCTCTGAAGTGCTCATACCATGCGCTGGCACGGACTGGGCTTACTGGAGCAAGTTTTGGGGTCGAGATGTTATAAGTTTCAAGGAAATTCTTGGGCCACAAGCCAAGAAAAACAAAAAGAGGATGGGAAGGAGACTGGGGCAAAAATCAGGAGGCTGCTGTAGTTGATGTTGGTGCAGCAGGTGAAGGTCCCCAGGTGTCCCCACCATGGTCTGGAGCTGGTGGGAGTGGGTGCAGCCCGTCCTGCCAGGTGGGGCATCGAACTGCTAGATGCCTTGGATGTGATTATTTTCCATCTCCAAGCTGCATATTAAAATACATGTATCTCTTCTTTTTTTTTTCTTTTTTTTAATAGGTTACATTCCCTTCGGAACACCCATCGTAAGTATTCTAACATCTCTCCCCGCTTTGTCTGTGAGTACCGAGAAATGCATTTTTTTAGCACTTGCAAACAAAAGTTCCACCTTACCGCTTCGCGACACATTCCCACCTTCCCCATCGCACGGCAGCAAGGACTTCATCGTGCAAAGTCTGCCCTCTGGACATTCTGCTCAAGGTTATTTCTCTGTTTCCCATCGTTCATCTACCCCCTGCAGTGTCTGCAGCTTTATCTTTCCTTCCTGCAAAGGGAAGACCAAGATGAGCTCATTGCCTGCAAAATGCAACTTCTGCAACTCGCAGATTTCATCTTTGGACACCTTTTTTTTTTTTTTTTTTTTTAAATATTTTACAAGTCGTTTCCCCAGCGTGACGAGCTCCAGCACGACGAGGCCAGTGTCGTGCGCTCTCGTCTTGATTAATTAAAGCAGCGAACGCTTTCCGCGGGGTTATTGCTAAGGACGCTCAGAGTTTGTACTTGTTATTGTGCAATTTGGAAGCATTTGGGTGCTCTTGGTCGTGAAGGGAGAGAATTCTAATGCTGAAACCTCAGCTCATCCTCAGGAACGGGAACGATTAATTAACCCCATTTTGCAAATGGGGAAACTGAGGCACGGAGTTTTGCCCAAACTTGGTGCCGGGAGGCTTGTTGCTTCTCCCAGCCGCCAGCTCTTGGCACACACGTATTAAAATGGTTGAAGGAGCAAAATCTGCTAAATTGAATCTTCTTAAACGCAACGGACCATGGCATAGCAGTTGCTCGAAGGTAACGATCTTTCCCAAGCAGCGATAGCGGGGTCGCTGCCGCCGCCAAGCAGAACTCAGCGTCGCGGCTGTTACTGTTTGTTGTTGCGCGGAAAGGTTTGGTGGGATCTTTGTATGGGGCATTTGAAAAGAAAAGGTTAAACAAAAACGAGTTAACGATCAAATTGACAATGCAATCGGCCCAAATCCAGAGCTGTCAGAGCAGCCGAGAGCTGTCAGATGAGCCCAATTTCACTAGCTGCAAAGGATAAACTGGAACCTCTTGTCATTTAAAAAAAAAAAAAAAACCCAAACGTTTCAAATGTTAAAATTAAAATGTAACATTTATGCCAATCGATCTGTGAAATTTAGTGACAAAATTGGCAGCCTGCTCTAGCATAAAAACAGTTTGGAGTCTTGCATTTCACATCGGGGGGATGGGATTTCCTCAAGAGACACTTTCATGTGCCGGCACTGGGCTCTGGCTCTCGCACCACGCTCATCGTCCCGGCGTTCGAGGGTCAATTAAACCTCGAACTGGATTAAACCTTTCCATCAGAGACGTGATGAGATTCTGTATGAGCAGGTTCACTGCCCATCAGTCAATACCCGATGCTGCCTATATACATGTTGGGGTTTTTTTTTCTTTTTTTCCTCCTATAGCTAATGCAAAATAATTCAGTTTAAGCTCATTGTGGAAGAGATTAAGGTCTGGCTGAAAATAATTGGTTCTTTTCTAGTCCAAGCAGCTCCTCCCTTGACACAACCAAATCCTGCGGCTGTTTATTCTTTCCCCCCGTTGCAATTGTTTCCTTTTCTTTCTAGCTCCCATCCTTTCCGCGCTCAGCTCTACGGTTTGACCCCAGTTGCGGTGGCAGAATGGGGACAGGACGGAGGATCTCCAAGCGTAGGGAGAATTTGGGTTTGCCCACCGAGACCTCAGCCCAGGAGGGAGCAAATCCAACCACTCGCGTTATCTCCCTTCGCTGGAGGGATGAGATGCGCGGGGCAGCTGCAGAGCCTTTTACCCTGGATTTACATTTCATCCCAGGGATGAGAGGCTCCCAGGAGGAAGATTTCTCTGCATTTAGGAAATTCAGCCCAAGACTTGGGTGGTGGAGGTGGAGCAAAAGCTGTGCTGCTGTTCCCAGACGCCACCCCCAGCTCTAAGCACCGGTTTTTCCCCAAATATTTAAAAATAGAGCGGTTTGTTGAGGTTTCGAAGCGCATCGAGAAGCCCCTGGTGTGAATATGGGGTTAGAGACGACTCTCGCTAATGCACAAGGGCAGGACTTGGGGCTTGCAAGAGGAAAGCTCAGAATAAAAACACTGCTCAGAGCCAACCGATGTCCAAGTGGTGGCTTCAGCCCTGGCTTTGGGGCTACGAAGGGCTGGTCACACCTGGTAGGAAATTAAATTTTGTACTTTTCTAGTATTCAGAAGCTTTTTTTTTTTCTTTTTTATTTTGTTTTCCTTCTTAGTTATTTTTTCCCCCTGCCAGTAATTAAAAGTGAAACTGTACATTTCTTGACAGACTCTCGCACATATGGAGAGTTTGCATTTAAACGTGCCTCTTTCAGTCATACAGATTTTGGGTGCTCTTTTTTATTTATTTATTTTCCTTCTCTTATTTTTTCCTCGGCGCTCAGCTTCAGCTGACAATGTCGGAGCTGCCTGCAGTCTTCCCTTTCCTCCGGAGCCTCATTAACCCGCTGGCTTTCGGGGCGTAAGTCAGTCCTGGGGTGAGGAGGTTCATCGCCTGTTGGATTTATTTGGCTAAGACCAGCAAGGGGGTAATTAATGACAAGATCTGCATATTGAATGGAAGCGGTAAATTAGTGGAACTTGGCACAGATTGGCGCCCGGCCAGCGTACAAAGTAGCTGTAACTTCACGAAAGGCTGTAGGAGGAAAAAACTGGAGGAGGAGGAGAAAGGGAAGAAGATGTAAATGAAATCAAGCCTCCCAACCCTATTACCCTTTTGTTTGTTGTTATTTCTCTCTTGTGTCCTGCAGCGGAGAAGTTGCCTCCTCTTCAACTGATGCTGCTGCAGATGTGCAGAGATGCCTTTAGCTTGTCCCTCCTTACGGCAGGCTCTCCGTGCTCTCACAGGGAAGTTTTTTCTTTCTTCTTGGCTTGTGTAGGGATAAACTTCAAGAAAATGGTGCAGAAGAGGATCTGAGTGTGGGAATGAACTCGCAGCCTTCTTGCCCAGATGCCTCGAGGATGTTTCAGTTCCCATGAGTGTCTTGAAAAGAAGTGTATTTGGAATTGAATGGAATTTTTCAGTCTTTATACTCTTAGCAAAGGTGCAAGTGTGATTTTGCAAACCCATCTTCAGAAACTATCAGATATTGAAGGTGCAGGATGGGAGGAAAAGACAGTGACATTAGGAAGTATCTCATCTTCCCTGTTTCTTACTCAAGAGCTCATCTTCTTGTCTGTCTTCGTTGGGTTTATCATTGAGAGTCCCCTTGCTTGCATCCCTTGCCTCTTCTTCAACTTCTTATGCTTTCAGAGGAAAGTTTACCCTAAAACAAGGTAGGAAGGAGTCCAACAGTGCTGCACTGTGCGTAAGAGGTGAGATCGTTAAAGAATTGCAGAGGATGTGCCTACAAGGTGTATGGAGATGTCCCAAGGATGCTCTTGGGTCTGTATAGGCAACATACGCCTGCGTGGCCTCGGGTGCTGCGATGGGTGACCTTGCAAAGCCTGTGGCATCTCGCATTCACGCGGCAGCATCTGGCCAGATGTGCCGGGACAGGCGGCCGCCAGCCTCTGGGAGACAGTGATTGTCAGCCTGAGCTCAACCCAAGCAGGAGTTTCCACAGCTCGGAGAATGACACATCAACAGCTCTCTTCAAACAAGATTCAGGCTCCCAGAGAGGAGCACATGTGCTTCCAGGTGGCACTCCTGTCTTCAGATGTTCAAATTGGGTTTCTTTCTTCTGCTTGCAACAGCAAACGTGCCAAAGGAAAAGAAGAAAACCCCCTTCGCTGCCAGTAGTGACAACTTTGAACTCTTGCAGTCATGCGATGGTTGTGTTCTCCTCCAGAAATACCTGGGTTAATGAATTGATGACATTTTAATGAGCTAATCTTTGGACAGTATATGCTGCCAGACTCTTTTCAAGGTGTGTTGCAAGCAATAATTAAAGATGCAAAGCTTTCACGGGCAGCTGTGTTACCCAGCTTCACCAGTGGAAAATCACGAGCAATAGGCTGAAGGGAAGTTCAATAACTCTAATGAAATAAAGGCAAAAATGAAGATATTTAATTCAAGTCATTAGAAACAAGCTTGCTGTTTGCATGCCTATAGAAGAGCAAACCAACAATGTGTTTGCTAATGAGAAAAATCTCTTCTCTTGCAGGTTGTTGGTCTTCTCTTGCCCAACCAGACACTGGCATCCACTGTGTTTTGGCAGGTAATGCTCCTCTGGACGGGTGGAGAATGTAATGGGATGGAAAGGAGCAGTTGGGTTTTGTCTGGAGGACAAACTGGTGCACGTGGCTGTTCTGCACTGGCAATGTTTTAGCTAATGGGGAGATGATGTGTCGGGGGGGTTGGAACTAGGTGATCTTTATGGTCCCTTCCAACACAAACCGTTCTATGATTCCTTGATGTGGCTGGATGTAATTAGGGCAAGGTTTGGTAGGTCTGGAAGGGGCTGTAAGCAGACTGTTGGGTCTGCTTTTCAGGCTGTTTATGCCATTGCAAGAGAGATGCAAAATAGCCTGGGATCTCAAAATCAGCTTTTTGGATCCATTTTGTACAGGTGTAAATGATTACACAGTGTGTATTTCCATGAACACGTAGGCCCTTGACACCACACATCTGTTTTGAAGACACCCTGTTGAGTAGTTGGGGTCTCCAGTGGTGAATTCCCGTTGGAAGTGCAATGTGTGCGCAGGGCTCCGGGCAGGGGCAGGTTCCGTGCCCAGGAATTTTGGGAATAGCTGTGCATTGCAAAGGCAAGGGCCTCTGTGGTCAAGATGCTACATGGGCTTTGGGGGAAAAGAAGTATGTAGGGAGGGGTGTTGGTGTTATTTCCCCACTAAAATTCTGGGAATTAAGAGTAACGGGAGGAAGCGTGCACGTGAATGAGCTTTATCCATAGTAAACACTCCACTTAAGTATAATTTCAGCACAAACTGGAATGAAAGAATGAGTTATTTTTAGTGGCGAATGTCTTTTTATTGTCTCTAGTGCAAGTGATGATAGAGAATTATGCGGTTAAGAAATATCAAAGCAGAATGGGATCTGCCTAGAATGTTAGAAAGACTGCAGAGCCAAGAATACGCTGGTGCGTGCCACGAACTTGAGGTTTGGTTTATTGAGCTAGAAGTTTTGGCCATGTGGCTTTACGTGCTAGGATGGTGGCTGGAGTCATCTACACTCATTCATAGTTTTGAAGGCAACTTGCCTTACCTGGTTTTAGACGTCTGTGATGGAATGAGTTGGCTTTTGGAGAAGTTACTCTCGCTGGCTTGGGCTGGGTGCCTTGTAAATAGCTTACACGAGGAGCTCCTGTTCCCACCATCACAGGAATGCTGGGGGAAGCTTTCAGCTTTAAAAGGATGGAGTAGTCCTTCTAAAACTAGAAAGAATACTTCAAACACAGAATCAAAATGAGCCTTCAGGAGAGGCGAGTCATAGCAGGCAAGTCCAGGAACCGAAGCCTACCTGGGCCACCACCACTTACCGAGTGGTTCTCAAACTCTTCCCTCCACCGTTCCTGCTAGGGTCATCGCTTTCCGAAAGATTCAAGTAGGAGGAGTAGCAACCTAGAGAGGGGCATCACCCAAAAAAGTGTGTGAGGGTGTCAGGTAGCCACCTGGGAAGAGTCAGGGAATGGGTGGTGGGGAGGTCTTCAGCCTAGAGACAGCTTAAACTCTAGATAAAGAACAATGTCTGAGCAGTATGTCTGCATTTCTCTGAAAAGGAGATTTATCCAGATAAATAAATAATGGATAGAAAATAGAAGTAATGGGTATAAAATAAATGGATGCCCCATCCCTGGAGGTGTTCAAGGCCAGGCTGGATGAGGCTTTGAGCAACCTGGGCTAGTCCGAAGGGAGATGAATTTTCCCATGGCACTCACACATTTATTGATTTCTTTTTTTTTTTTTAACATTTTTGTGAAGTTGTGTTTATGTCTCTCTCTTCTTGTTTCCTCTGTAGTGGTTGAACCAGAGCCACAATGCGTGCGTCAACTATGCAAACCGCAACGCGACAAAGGTGAGGAGACCCAATGTACGTGGCACGTGCAGCACCTTAGGTCTGTTTTGACACAGAAGTCTTGTCTTTCCGTGGTTGAATAGAAACTCTGGAGTCGGCACTGGGATGAATTTCTAGATTGGCCGTTCTCCTGCATAGGCTTCCATTTTAAACCTCGGCTGTAAATGGCACAAGGATCAAAAAATCACTTGAGGCACATAAGGGACACTCAGTACCTTTGAGCTATACCAGTATAGAGTTCTAACTGGAATGAAATGATTTAGTTTGACATGTAAATGAGCACGAAGCAAAATGGGATCTGGGTTTTGGGATAGCAGAAGGTGGCTCCGTGGTCACGCTGCCATCTCCCGAGGACTTTCGATGTGCTACCAGCCATGGTGTGGGGAAACGGTGGGGCTGTTCCTGCTCTCTGCCGTCGCTTTAGCCTTCGTTCATCCCGTGATGGGATGTGGGAAGCTCAAGCTGGAAGGCTGAGTTGGAAACCATCCAGCTCATGGAGTGAATGTTTCACAGACAAGTATTTAATGTGGAGACTTTGGGGTTCATCACTAGAGGATAAGGGTGCTCATTTTGTACCATTTGCTGAATTTCATTCACATACTTCCTTTGAGCTGCTATTATTATAATTTTCTGATGCCAATTAATTTTCCGTTCCCTTTAACCTTGCTCGTGAGGCTACAGTTTGCCTTGCTTTTGCCACTGCTAGATGACAGACCATGTGTCACGGAACAATATGACAAAAGTGAAACCTGTCTGGGGTTTAAAACAAATAAAATGAAAACAAACCAAAAAAGCTTGGTTGCATTTTTGAGAACCAGAAGTTTGTTTATTGAAAATATGTTTTGTTTTTCTTTCCAAAGCCTTCTCCGACATCCAAGTTCATCCAGGGCTACTTGGGAGCTGTCATAAGTGCTGTCTCAATAGCAGTGGGTAACGCTTTATATTTTTTACTCCTAAGTAACTGCTCCCTTCCAGCAGTACTGCAATGCTTGTGAGATGTTTGTTTGAATTGCCAAGCATGTTTCTCTTTTAATTGACAGAATTCAGTCTCCAGAATCAGAAAAGATTTTAACCATGAGGTGTCTCTGTCCCTGCATGCCCAAACTTTGCAGCAGAAGGAGGTTTCTGCTCGTTGCTTCCAGCTCGTCCCGCACCGTGCACTGCCTGGCTCTGCACCGCGGCTTGGCTGCTGGGGGAATTCAGATCATCCACGCGGGCATTAACTGGTGGGGAATTACCCTGGTCCAAGTTAGAAGAGTGACTTTGAGGCAGGCTTTTGGAGATATTCCCTTGGTGGGGCAGCCCTTTGGGTTAAAAGAACCGCAGGGCTCAGGATGTCTTTCACCTGGAGACAGCATTCCGGCTGGTGTTCGAGTCGTATCTGAAATAATCCATAGGAGAGGAGCTTGTAACGTTGCTGAAGTCATGGTCCCGTGGTGCAGTCATCAGGCTTTTAATGCTCAGATTCCCCAGAAGCACAAGTTGACACCGTTAAGTCGGTTAGTTCCCGAGGAGACAGGTACATTTTTCACGAGCAACTTCGGGAAGTTATTTCTTACGTTGGGTTTTCAAATAAGCCTCTGAAACGTAGGGTTGTGCATTTTCTACTGGAGCATTAAAGATCTCATGGCAGATTGTATTTTTTTCCTCTGGCCAAGACTTTTTTCCTTTTTCTCAAGCCACAAACATCCTTTCCCAGGCATTTTTTCTGCAAAGAGACTGTGCCATGGGAGGAGGTCAGCACTCAGCCTCCTTATCATACCATTTGTACCCAGGTTCCCCAATTCACCGTCGGGAAAAAGCTCCTTGGGCTTGTTTAGATTGCTGTAAGGTAAAAAGTTTGTCTGGAGCAGGCTGTGGATCATTGGGAGAACTATGGAGGCTGGGCACTGGCAGTGAGCGGTTGGGCACATCGTGTCCACAGGGGACAGCAGAAATTCTGCAGAAGGCATAGCTCTGGATCCCTGGAGGGGTTCAAGGCCAGGCTGGATGAGGCTTTGAGCAACCTGGGCTGGTGGGAGGTGTCCCTGCCCATGGCAGGGGGTGGAACTGGATGGTCTTGAGGGTCCCTTCCAACCCAAACCATTCCATGATTTGGTGATTCCCCATCCCACCAGCCTCAGCACATCGGTTAGCAGCCGTTCTCTGTCCGCTCTTTCCCAGCGTAGCGTGGGACAGGTTGGGTGTCCTCCTTAGTCCTTAGTTGAGAATTTTTTCCACCTTGTGAATTGGTGAAGTTCTCCAACTTCACAACCCACCTTCCAACAGCCAGCACGGCTGCAGCAGAGGGGTGAGGACTGGTTCCACGTTGTTGGCATTAATGCTCCTCTCCATTTCAGCAACAGGGGCAGAGAGAGGGCAGGAGACACGGAGAAGTGATGTTGGCAGAGTTTTGTCACCAAGAAGCTGACAGGCTTTGATAAGGACACTCCTTGGGTGGCGAGCAGAGATGTCCATCCTGGGACAGCTGATGCAGGTCTTTAAAATCTCTGGTTCCTCCTAGGCTGACTGCAAAGGAGCTGGAGCAAAAGATAGGTTCAGAGAGCAGAGAAACATTTGTTCTCGGAAGCAGTGGAAAAAATGACATCAAGACTTGTAGATAAAAGGAATTAGGGTGAGCCAGCAGTGGGCTGTGGCTCCAGCAGGGTGGATGTCACCACTGGTGACATTTGGGTGGCTCATCACACTGATGGTGGGTCAGCTCTTTGTCCCATGGTGGTTTGTACCTCTGTTAGCTGTACTGTTTACTCCCTGGTGGGAAAGGAGCTTTGAATAAATGGAGAAACGGAACTGATGCTGGGATTTACCTGTCCTCATAATTTGTAGGAGCATCTCCAGCAGCACCTGGTTGTCTTGCCCACCTCAGCTGTCCATCACAGGGACAGTTTTAAAAGCATCACGAGGAAAGATGATACCAAAATATTCTGTTCTTCCAGCATTTCAGGTCTTGTGCAAGAGGAAACCTTCCTTCAACGGTGTAGATGCTGGGTGTTGATTCCTTCTTATCTAAGTGCCACGACGATCCCACCACACTGGGCTTCCACTGGGAAGCCCTCAGCGTGTGCCAAGAGTACCGTGAGCTCTGTAACAGCAGTGGGTTTGTAGCTCTGGTGCTCTGAGGGTCAGAATATCGTCACGGGAAGGCAGGAGGTTTCCTTCCATCCATCGATGTCGTTGGGGGGAGCAGGGAACAGTGGCAGCCTTCATGGATACCTTCTCCTTCCTGGCGTTGGAAGGAGTTCTTCTTGAGCACGCTGCGGCACATAGGATGTGCAAAAATGAGATGAAGTCGCTGTGTGACAGTGTCCCCATGTAGATGAGCCGTTGGGGATGCTACCGGTGTGTGTGAGTTAAAATCACAGAATCCCAGACTGGTTTGGGTTGGAAGGGACCTTCAAGCCCATCCAGTGCCACCCCCTGCCATGGGCAGGGACACCTCCCACCAGCCCAGGTTGCCCAAAGCCTCATCCAGCCTGGCCTTGAACCCCTCCAGGGATGGGGCATCCACAGCTTCTCTGGGCACCCTGGGCCACTGCCTCACCCCCCGCACAGGAAAACATTTCTTCCCAATATCTCAGCTCAATCTCCCCTCTTGCAGCTCATGTTACCCCAGAGCAGCTCGTGTCCTGGTAATCCTTAGCACCGCTTATTGCGCACTCAATTCCCAACGCAGAGCAGCCTAGAGAAAATCCAGCAGTGATTTCTATATTGTAAATATCTGGATTAATAACCAGCATCTCCTCAAGCATTTCTTTCTTTTTTTTTTTTTTTAAATGATGGTGACAAATAATATAGCAATAGCCCCCAGGTTCATTACGTTGGATCGTAAGGCCCCAGCCCTCATTAACTGCTCTCTGCTGTCAGTTAGCGACAAATCGCCTCCCAGTGTGAGCCTATTAGGACCAGATGACCTGAAAACAAGTGCCACAGCCTCCAGTGGTCTGCCGAGACCTGGTATTAATTAAAGCGAGCCCCTTCCATGTTTGCAGTTGGCAAGCGACGCGGGGAGAAGGCTCACGAAATGACAGATCGCTTGACTTGCGATTGTGCTTCCCATCGCCTTCGCCCTCCGCGGCTCCATCTAACGAGAGGGACAAGCAAATTGCTTTCTCGCGCGTACGGAAGAGGAGATTTTGGCTTTACGCTTCTCGCAATTAAACGAGAAGTCTGAGTAAATCTTTGCAAATAATCCCAGTCTTTTCCCATTTCTGTTTTTTCAAGATTTTTCAATATTTTTTCCCCAATTTTTTTTTTCCACCCACTCCCAGCTCAACACAATTCACAGCATAGCTTCAGGCAAGGAAAGCTGTGCTGGGTCTAGAATTTTTTTTCACCCTCCTTCCTGCCTTTTCTTTCGGTTGCTCTCATTTTCCTGCCTTTCCAAACACTGAGAAGTAATTTTTTAATTTTTTTTAAAAACAATTGAGTGGATTCCTGTGATTGTGCCGTATTTTCTGATATCTGGCTGCTGTTCATGCTGGTGGTGTACAATTAATACCAGCTGGTTTCCCGAAGCAAGGCAAACAGAGGCAGAGAGTAGAAACGACTTAAGAAAGACCAAGCATATCTTAAATTTTTTTTTTCCCCAACTATTCCAGCGCCAAGAGCTATAGTGATCGGATGGCTTGTAATTATACAGAAACTCTTCCCAGCAGACACACACACACACTCTGCTAATTTGGTCACGCTTTTAAAAGGTTAAAAAATCTACATAATCAAAACCAATTTTATTGTTAATAACTTTTTTAAAAATTATTTTATAGGTAGGTTTCTTAATTTCAGACCCAAACTCAACTTGTTACCCCATCAACTTGTTACCCCTTTTGCTCCCGAGTCAGCTCTCCAGTCCTATGGCCTTAGGTGGTACCTTCACTTGGAGGTCAGAAGTGATTCTTGTGGCTGTAATTAAATTCCTGCAAATTAAACCAGCTCCAGACAAGGGCTGTGAGCAGCCACTCTCTGGTTTCTGGGCTGTCACTGATGCTGAGACTTGCAGACTGGCGACCGGTGGTGTTAGCCCTGGGGTTTTCTCACCCTTGGTGATGAGTCGCTGGGTTTCTCTGGACGTTCTTGGAGCATCATCTCCCAGCAGTGGTGTTATCACCCTTGGTTTCCGTAGTCGTTGGATCAGAGCTTTAGACATCAAGTTTTTAATTTCCACAATTACAGCTTCAGGTTCTGCCAAGCCTGGCTCCAAATCTTCCTCCTGGTGCTCCTGAAGACCCCGTGCCGACTCTCCAAGGGGTTCCTTTTTTCTGCCAGTGTCCTTTGGCCGCGTGTCTGACGTCTCCTGGGCAGCAGCGTCTTGTCGCTCAGCTTGGTGCTCGGGTCACTCGCTCCTTGTCCATCTGTTGTACACTGGAGGTGCCACGTACATCGGTGCTGCTGGCATTGTCCTCTCCCGTTGACAGGTTGGGCTCTAATTAGACCGCAGCAAGCCTGGCAGGCGTACAGAAGGTGTTTGACATCTCTAGGTGTGTGTAATTTAGCCAGAGAATGTCTATCGTGACTGCCTGGGCATGGATGGGGATGCAAAACCGCGTGTGTGAGATCAGGAACCTCTTGAGGATGGTGGAGTTTGCCCCAGTTAAAAAAGACAGAATCATAGAATGATGGAATGGTTTGGGTTGGAAGGGACCTTCAAGATCATCTAGTTCCACCCCCTCTGTGGCTTTTGTAACTTCTAACAAGGTTTTTATTAAGTGTGAGTTTGGGATTTATGGTCTTGGCAATACAGAGGCAAATAAATCAGTTGTTCTCACTTAGCAACCTGAGCTAAATTCTGCCAGAAGTAGGTGTTCTGTCTTCTTTTGTATTGGAGAGAGAGATGCGATGTCATGTAACCATGACTGCCAGCCAGGCTGGCTATTTTGTAGTCATCTATAAAATGTACCTGCCCAGGAACTGAACCTTTCCTTTTGGCTTA